AATTTCCATCCAAAATTAACCTCAAGTCTTTCTCTAATGTTTCCCAGTCATGGTGTGATCCATGTTTGGTGAGGACGTGTTGGACCTCCATAGACAATGTTTCTCCCATACACTGTCTTATTAATGCCATACGTCGTGTTTTCTCTTCTGCAGAATTGGCTCTGGCTCCAACTGTGGCTGACAAAGATGTCAGAACTAGGAAAGCTTGTGCCCTTTGCTTGGAAATATTGTTTAGTTCCTGGTAATTTTTTTCAGCAACTTGCATTTCATCCAGAAGGAAGTTCAATTCATCATGTCCCAAGAGTCTCTGAAAAATTTCGTTTGCCACTTGATAGCCTGAGCCAGCTGCGAAAGAGAGCAACAGGAGCCGTGTGTCCTGCTGTTCTGTTTCTTGCAGATAATTCAAGAAGGAACTGAGAGCTGTGGTGAGCTCGTATGTGGCTTTTCTTTGAGCTTCTTCCACTGCTTTTGGAGAATCATTTCTAAAGCTTACTTCCATGTATGCATTTTTGATTTCTTCTATGTTTTCAATGAGCTCTGAAAACTGGGTAATACGAATTTGCTTGTCTTCTGACTCTGACTCTTTCATCCACTTCATGATGGACTGTGCATGAGGGAAGTTTTTCACTTTGTACACATGAGGTTCTAGAAGGCTGCGCAACTGAGATTTAATGAAGTGAGTTTTATAAATGGACAACTCTTTGCAAAAATTTACAGTGTTTACCAAAAAATTCTGCAAATCCCAATCTGTGAGACATGTGTTAATCCAAATATCATAACTTTCTGTTTTTTGGCTCACTGTTTGCATGAAATGTATTAGCTTTTGAAGCTGCTCTTCGGGATCAGTAACTTCCCAGGATTTCACATCCTGTAGGAAAAGCCTCACTTCCTTCCCAGCACTTAGTAATTCCTCTCCTTCCAGGATCTGAGCAGAGAGTCCAGTCAGTGCAGTATAGTTGTCTTTCAGGCAGTTAGCCACCTGAAGGGGGTCCTTAAAATCACTTCTGTGATTGGAGAGGATAATGTCCCAAATGGGAACTAGCTGAAGTCCCCGGTCAATGACAGACCAGGTTTGATTGCTGGCAACAAGGCCAGCCTTCCACTGGTCAGGTCCTTCTGCCTCTGGTGGTCCACCTGTCTGGGCCACAGATAACTCTACTTTGGTTTGGAGGTTTTCAGTATTTGTGTTCTGAGAGGTTGTTTTTGAATGTGAGTCTGACATATTCATACTTGCACCAATTTTAACTCCAAAGCCACTGTAGCTGCCCCTTATGTAAATATCCAGGGCCTCTGATGCCTGCTGCTTCACACCAGCCAGTTGCTTACTTTTGAATCCCTCTGCAATGGCCTTCCAGCAGTAGATTCCCCCTAAGTGCACAGGGCCTTGGTTAGCATGAGAGCCAAACCTCTGGAAGAAGCGTTCTGTTCTGTGCCTCAGTAAGGGAACTCTATCTGGGTTTGTAATCTCACCCAAGAGTTCATCAATTATTTTCAGGTCCTCAAGAGCAGCCTTGGAGAGTTGGATCTGGTCAATGGAAAAGTGGCAGGTGGCCAGGGGGATGTAGTTGAACTTGGACAAGCAGAAATAAGAGCTTTCAGAATGTGACTGATGGGTGTCCTTGGATTCTGCATAATTCCTTTCATCCATTCCAGCTTCTAATCTAATTCCCCAGCCTCCACCTTTGACTGAGGAGGTTATACTGAAGCCCAGCTTCTCTATAGTCTGTGTGAATATGGACTCTGCGTGAGAAGATGTGAATTCTTTACTTTCCATCCTTGTACCCTGCTCAGGACCAAAGATTGAGAGCTCCTTTGGAACCCTGAGTAGTTTGTCTCTCCTCTGTATCAGGTCTCTTTGTTGGCTTGTTTTATAAATTCCCTGTAGTGCAAGACCTCCGGAGGCCTGTTTTATCAGATCTCTGTCTGAGAGGTTTTTCCTGTGGGACAGTGTCTGGTCTGTGAGACTGAGTTGTTTCTGCTTGGTTTCTGTGACTTTACTCAGGGGCTTTTCAAGCAGAGTCAAGTTTTCTTCAGGAACCTCCATTACTTGCCTAACTATTGTTTCTTTTCCACACAGTGCCTCTTCCTGTCTGTGCTTCCCATCTGACTGTGAGCCTCTCAGGTCCTGCAGTGCCTCTCCTGCCGTCTGCCTTTTCTTTATCGTGTCCACTGAAGAATCCTGTAACTCTGGAGCACTATTTGCCTGAGAGACTTCAAACAGCTTTTCCAGGGCCTCTTTCTCCCAGGGATGTTGTGCTTGGGATTTCAGCCTCTGGAGGTCTTTTTCTTTTAAGTATTGTAAAGCTTGGGCACAGGTCACACCTAGGTGTTCCTGAAGCTTAGGCAGCCAGTATTCAGCAGACAATCCCACTTCTGTCAGCATCTCCTGGAGATCTTGCCTCCTTTTTCTTCTGAGGTGAGACTCATCAGGGTTGTACTCCTCTGTGTCCATGGCTGTGTGAAGAACAGGTATTCAGTTAAGTTTTTGTTTTCTGACCTAGGATATGTCTTGTCAACCACATGGCTAAAAGTATGCAGAATGTAATAAGTAAATCTATAAAGCTTTCTTGGGGTCTGGAGAGATGGCTCAGTGTTTTAGAGCACTGCTGTTTTGCTGCTCTTGCAAAGGACCCAGGTTGGATTCCCAGTAGCCACAATCTATAAAGCTTTCTTGGGGTCTGGAGAGATGGCTCAGTGTTTTAGAGCATTGCTGTTTTGCTGCTCTTGCAAAGGACCCAGGTTGGATTCCCAGTAGCCACGTGATGACTAACAACCATCTGTATCTGCAGTTCTACCAGATCCAATGTCCTCTTCTGTCCTCCACAGGCATGGCATGACATGGTTAAACTTACATGCAGACGTAACACTCATATACATAAAATATTTTCATGTATGTAAGTGCAACTATGTCATGTAGTGCCCAGGTAGGACAGAAGAAGGAATTCCATCCCTTGGTATTGGAGTTACAGACAATTGTTAACTGCCGTGTGGGTCTGGGATTCGAGGCCACATCTTTTATAAGAGCAGCCAGTACTGTTAACTGCTGAGCCATCTCTCTTATTCCCCAACCAAAGTATTTTTGTGAACATAGTTTCTTTCACACATAAGATATCACTGTGAGTATCCTCAGCATGGTGCCCCCCCTTTTTTTTTTCTACAGTGGTGACTTGCAATTCGGCCTACTTTTATCACTGTTTTAAAATAACAAATTTTCCTTGATGCCTGGCATGGTGGCACATCCATGTAATCCCAGCAGAGGCAGAGGCAGAGGCAGGTGGAGTTCTATGAGATGGAGACCAGCCTGGTCTACCTAGGGAGATCCAGGCTGGTTGGGCCTACAGGGAGACCCTGTCTCAAAAAAATATTAAAAACTAACTAACAACTAACTAACTAGCTAACTAACTAGCTATATAAATAAATAAATACATAAATAAATATTGCATTGAAAGAATTTACCTGAGGAATGGAGTTGGAAAATATACATGAGATAGGCAGCTTGATAAGTCAATCTTTCAGTTGATTATTTACACTGATTAGTTTCTATAAGGCTTATATAGACTGGTTATAACTTATCTCTCTGCTATTTCTTCTTCAGATATTTATTATTCACATATCTTTCTAGATGCATTTTTGTCCTTTTTATTCTTATTATTCACTTCTTACTTTTTATCTTATCTTAGTAACATAGTATCTTATATTATTAACAATTGTCTATACACTGATGTCATCCCTACATGTGTATATAAAGCCTAATGCTGAGAGGTTGCAGCCTCACCTGCTTCTGGTTTGCTCTGTCCTGCTTCAGCCACCAGGCCTGCTGCTTGCTGCCATGCCCTACCCCTTCCATGACAGTTTCTTATCCCTCTGGAACTGTAAGCCAAAAATAAACTGTTCCTTCTATAAGTTGTCTTGGTCATGGTGTTTTATCATAGTAACAGAAAAGTAACTAATACAAATTCCTGCTACATCCACAGGAGGTCGAACAGCATTTATAAATAAGGAAGAACATATGTATCACATCCTTGGTACAGACACAAAAGATAAAACCTACCAAAGGAGGAAGAGCACATAGCTATAGGGCAACCAGGGTCTGACTTCTGAGAGAGAGAGAAGCAGCTTGGGGTTCTATGATATAGCACTAAATACCTACCTGACATGAAGATCTTTAGTTTAATCTGTTTTACTACAAATGTCATAATTTCCTTCCATTCTGCTTTAGGACAGTAATCTGTTGATGAGTACATAGGATAATTCCACAATGTAGTTATTGTGAACAATGCTGTAATAAACATGGAAGCATGGGTATCCACATAGTAAAATTGACTTTGATTCCTTTGGGTATATACCCAGATGTGGTAGGGTTGGGTCACATGCAAGGGTTACTTTTATTTGTAAAGATTTCTTTATTTATCCTTAGTTATGTATTTGTATGCTTGTTTGTATATCGGTATGTGCATGTGAATGTGGAAGCCCGTGGAAGCTACAGCCTTGGGTCCCCAAAAAGCTGGAGTTACAGGCAGTTTTGAGCTGCCTGATGTGTGTACTGAAAACCATAATGGGTTCGTGTGTGTTCTGGAAACCATAATGGGTTTTTCTGAATGAGAACTACATTCTCTTAACTTCTTAGGTATCTCTCTCTCCCCTACTTTTAATTTTTTTTAAGGAAAATCCATACTGATTTCCATAGTGACTACCCAAATTCACATTTCAATCAACAGCATTTGATGGCTCATTTTCTCACACATCCGTGGCAGAATTTGCTGTTTATTTTCTTGACTATACCACTTGACTAGGTGAGACAAAATCACAATATAGATTTTGCTATCCATTTCTTGATGTTGAAGGCTTTTAAAGGTATATGTACTTGGTCATTTGCAGCGTTTGTTCATTTCCACTATCTTTTCTATCATGACTAAACTTTCTAAACATTGCATGACCCCCCCCCCCAAACAGTCCCACCAACTATTGACAAAGTCTTTTAGTACTTAAGCCTATGAAGGCCATTTCTCATTCAACCACCACATTTCATTCCCTGGCTATCGGCTAATGGACATATCATAATGCCAAATATATTTAGTTCAACTTTAAAATTCCCTACAGTCTTTCACAATCTCAAAGTCCAGTGTCTCTTCTGACACTTATGGCAAACTCTTAACTTTAATCAACTGTAAAAATCAAAGAGCAAATTATTTACTTCCAATGTACATTTGCACCAAGGATACATTCTTACTTCATAAGGGAGGAATGGGAGCATAGTTAGGAAATATCTCACCAAAGTCACTAACAAAATCTAGCAGGGGAAAAACAAAACAAAACAAAACAACAAATCCTATAGTTCCATGTCTGATGACTGGGACTTTAGCTACAAAGGGCTTAGATGGTTTCTCCCCATCTTTCTCCGCATCTTTCTCTTGGGCTGGTTTCACTCCCTGTATGTAGCTCTCTTTAGGAAATCACTCATGATTATAGCATCTTCAACTTCTCAGGATCTCCACCACAACACAGGCTTCACTTTCACAGCTTCACATGATGACATTTCAGGGCCTTCTCACAGTGATTTCAGCACTAGCCCTACTTGACTGTCCTCAGTGATGCTCTTAAAATAAGGAAGAATCCATGACCCCCCCTCATTCTTGCATCTTTCATGTATTTAAAATCAGTACTATGTGGATGAAACTGCCAAGATTGGCTGACAGCTTAGTGTAGAACCTTGTCCCCTTTTATTACCAGTAACTTATGTGTTGAAGAAATTGATTTCTAGGAAAAAGCAACCCCTTAGGCTTTCTCCTTTCACAAGTTGGAAGCTTAGTCGGGTGAACTTTGCCCTTTCTATTGCTCCAGTGCAGGCAGTGAGGCTTCTCCTTAACAGTGCTAATCTTTATAATAAATCTCTCTTTCTGCAGAGAGATGCTGTTAGAGCATCTTTGACTATAACACTGATTCTTACTGCTCTTTTTCTCTCCAAACTGTATATTTTGCATTTTTCTGTCTCGCTCGTCCTTTTTCACTATAGACCTGCATAAGAAATAACAGTAATAACCTAGCCACAGATTCAGAATTACTTTGTCTTTAAATCTCCTCTGCCAAAAGAAATTAGCACAATTTTAAAATTGAGCCTCAAACAAGTGCTTAAGACATGGGCAAAAGGCATCCATTTTCTTTGCTAAATTTCACCAAAAAGGCCTATAGCTCCATTGTTAAAATCTACTTTGTTCTCCTCTGAAGACTATTGAGCTGGGCCTTGACATTTCACATTATATTTGCTGGCTTTAGAGGGCAAGGGGCAAAAAATTGTCCCTTAAGTCCCTCTTACCAGATTAGTATAGGCCTCAAAGTATGGTTATTAAACACCCAAGAAGGTTTTTTCTACAGATGGGCAGCTATTTGTTTTCAGCAAAGGTTTCCTAGGCTATATCCTTACCCACTGGGATCTCTTTGATCCGCAGACCTTAAGAAAAAACTGAATCTTTCTGCACTCAGACCTGGTCTAGATATACACTAGAAGACAAAATTTGGTCTGTAATGGGAAATATAAATGAGGGTACTTACTAAGTCTTTCATGTTGTCAATTCCATAAATAGACAAAAACTAACTAATTATGGGTATAAGCTTTTATGTATCTGGTCACCTCAGTGTATCCAAGGAGGAGTTCATGTTTAGCATTGGTAAAGGCAGATATTTCTGTCAACCTAATCTTGCTTGATCATGGGTACTGACTGCCAAGTACCCATGGTTTCATAAAGTTTAGAAATATCAAACAATGTGACCTCTTAAAATCAAATGTTCTGTTTTTTGTCAATCCTTGTTCCCAATAAAGAACCCAGCAGATTAGAAATCTCTCCTAGACAAATGTATACAGGTTATAAGAAGGACAGATCTTGTCAGTCCTGTTAGTAGTCACTGGACTCACCAGCTCTCCTGTCCAATGTAAACCACTGAGTTAAATTCTAAATAGAAACAAATGCCTTTTCGTATAAATTATATTGGTAGCGTCACATGCACTTTGAGCTCACTTAGAAGCTGACTCTGGAGATGGGATTGGCCCTCCCACTTCAGACGCAAGTCTATTTTCTCTAGAGTTTCTACAAGACTCTTACTTAGGTTCAGGCTGACCCACCTGCCCCTGTGGCAAGGTAAAGGAAAACAAAAAACAGCCTAAGAGTAAAGGCATTGTGAGTTTGAGAACAGCTAAATGTGAACAAATTTCAACAGAGGTTACTGTTATTTATCTCATGATATAAAAATGTCTATAGTAAAAATAATTAATGGGATTCTCTACTTTGTCACAAAAATGAGGAAAGTAACTAACACAGACTAATGTAAATGTATAGCAAGTACAAAGATTTAACTACTTAATGAACGAATCAACAGGATAAATATTTTTAAAAGGACAATTTGTAATCTGTGGAAAGGAAAGAGAGTACCCTCTGCCTAAAAATGTACCAGTTGCTTCT